AGTGAGAGCTAGATGTTCAAGACCTATATGTCTATTCAGGTGTTCAAAAAGCTGCATTTGCCCTTTCCTGATTTTTAAAAATCAATGAGCGTACCACGTGGGCTTCAGCAAGTACTACCTGTTTCTTTTCTTTCTAAGATATTCTCAGTAGCCATCTACGAAACCACATTTCTATTGGTTCTATTTTATTTTCACTGTCCTTAGTGATTGTCCAGCATTCACAGCCATAAAGAAGAGATGACCATACATAGCATTTTAGAACTATCATTTTGGTAGTCATTGAAATGTTTCTATTTGTCAGGATTGGGCTAATTTTATTGAAACCAGCCGTAGCCATTGCAATTCTCCGTTTTATTTCGGTGCAACAATTGGCATCAGATGTTATTATATGTCCAGGATATTCAAACTGTTGGATTTGTTGGATTTTTTAGCTTTTGCTTTTGGGATTACAAATATGATTTTCTGCCTTAAAATTATTTTTTTAAACAGATACAACCATGCATTCTGTTTTCTTCACATTCAACAATAACCAGTTACGTTCACTTTCCGTTACAATAGTATCTAGAAGCGATTGGAGGTCCTTTTCCGGGTCTACTATTAAAACTGTGTCATCGGCATATCTGATGTTGTTGTTGCTATCGCCATTCAGTTTGAGACCTTGACATCTTTCTATGTTTCTAAGGATTGTTTCACTCTATATTATGTTAAACAGGCTTGGTGACATAAGACATATTTGCCTCACTACTCTTCTACACTCTGCTTATTTTTGCTGTATTCTCCATTAATTCCTACAGCTGCGTTTTTATCCCAGTATAACCAGTATAAATTCCTGGTAATTCCTCGAACTTTTCCTATCTGTCTTGCTCTTTCAATATTTTTTAAAGCTCATCATTGCTAACTTTATCGAAAGCCTTAAAGTAATAAATGAAGCATAAATGCAGATCTTTTTGTACTTCAGCTCATCTTTCCACTAACATTGTTAAGGTGAATGAGGTAGCATTTTTGGTGCCCTTGTCAGGAACAAAGACGAATTGGGTTTAGGATATCTCTTACCCTTTTTCTCATTCTTCCCAGTAGTACTTGCATCAAGTTTTTATTGTATCATGACTTATAAGGCTTATTGTTATAAGCATATCACACTCAGTAGTACCTGGTGTTTTAGGTAAAGCTGTAAAAACTGACTTTATAATAGCCTTACCTAAAACACGAGTAGCCACTGAATGTGATATGCACTCAACTGTGCCAAACATTAAAGTTTAACAAACAAATCACAAGAAACGACCTTCACCAAAACACTTAACCAACCAATCAATATGAAAGCCAAACAACTCCACCCAAAACACTTATCCAACCACTAAAGCAAATTTAACCAAAAACTAAACCAAATACTCAACAAATCACGCTAATTACAAAAACCAACCGAACACTGATCACAACAATTCATCATTTAACCAATCAGCTAATAACTTAACTAAACCACCAAGCAATCACGAACCAATCTCTATCTAAACACTATATCATGATAATAAAAAAGCAAACCATCAACTAACAATACAAATCATCGACAACCCACCATTCAACCAACAAACCAATAATTCCCCCCCCCCCCCTCTAACTTCCCACCCCCACCACACACCTACCCGTATAGGCTCACACTTCCTCTCTTCCCCGTTCCGTCTGCGAAAAAAAAAATCAAACAAAAAAGACGAGGAAACGGGAGTTTCGGGGGGTAGGTGCGGGGGTTGGGGTTAGGGCCAGTTAAGGGGACTCGAAGCACATCAGGTGCACGTACAACTTCTTAAGACTTGACAAAAAGTTCGTGCATAGATCGAAGTGTTCGGGTATATAAAGGGGTGGCGCGAGGTGAGTTCTATCACAGTCAGTCCTGATATACCCCAGAGCTGTAAAGGTAAGGAATACGTCTAAGACAGTTGCACTTTGATAGGTGCACTAGATACGTCTTAGCCTCGGATACACATAGACGGCAAGAGGCTAAATAGACCGATAGACCCATATATTGATCAATAGACTGAGAGATATTCAGGAAGATACAGATTACTTAGTTGCACTGAATACGGTCTGCGCATGGCATGGAAAAGACTTTTGATAGATAGATAGATAGATAGATAGATAGATAGATAGATAGATAGATAGATAGAT